ACTCCGCCCCCCACCCCATAATTAAAAATAGGGTTAGGGTTAGAGTTGTTAGGGTTAGGGTTACGGATTGGGTTAGGGTTAGGGTTAGGTTTAGGGACAGGGTTAGGGTTAGGGTTAGGGTTAGGGACAGGGTTAGGGTTAGGGTTAGGGACAGGGTTAGGGTTAAGGACAGGGTTAGGGTTAGGGTTAGGGTTAGGGGCAGGGTTAGGGTTAGGGTTAGGTTTATGGACAGGGTTAGGGTTAGGGTTAGGGTTAGGTTTAGGGACAGAGTTAGTGTTAGGGACAGGGTTAGGGACAGGGTTAGGGTCAGGGTTATGGGTAGGGTTAGGGTTAGGAATAAATGCTTATCATCATTAATGTAAGGCTAATTTAAATTAAAACCACAACATTGTGGCACCTCCCCAGTGTTAGCTCTTAAGAGTTCTGGCACAGATACAGGCACACGGAACCCTTGCATACTGTTTTGGCCACATGAATTCGTGAAGCCATGTGGAAAACAGTATGACGAGGCATCAAAAAATTAAAAGTGAAATGAACACATGATGTAGAAATTCTATTTGTGGGAAGCTCTGGCTGGCCTAGAGCTCACTATGTAGACCAGGCTGGCTTGGATCTCACAGAGATCTGCCTGTCTCTGCCACCCAAGTGCAGGGATCAAAGGCTGCCATGCCCAGCTCTTATTTCTAGGAATATAGGCAGCTAAAGGGATGGTATCTGTGTCTCAAGGAGACACCTGTACCCCTGTCCTTTGCAGTTGTATTTACAAAAGCCAAGAAATGGCACTAATCTGAATGTCCATCAATGTGTGGTTGGGCAAGAAAAATAGGCGTCCAGGTATGATGGTGCACACCTTTAATTACAGCACTTGGGAGGCAGAGGCAGGCAGATCTCTGTGAGACTGAGGTCAGCCTAGTCTACATAGTGAGTTCCAGGCCAGCTGGGGCTACAGAGAGACCCTGTCTCAAAAATAAAAATGAAAAGTAAAACAGAGTGACACATTCACCCCAGGTAGAAATCCACGCAGACTCAGAAAGAAGGAAATCTTCTCATTTGGAACAACCTAGATAAATTTGGAGGACATTACACAAGCCAAACATAGAAAGACGGTTATCACACTGTGACATTTTATGTGGAATCTGAGAAATTTAAACATAAAAATCCAGCAGTATAGGCTGGAGAGATGACTTGGCGGTTAAGGGCACTGACTGCTCTTGCAGAGGACCAAGGTATGATTTCCAGTACCCCCATGGAGGCTAACAATCATCTGTACCTCCAGTTCCAGGGGATCCAATGCCCTCTTCTGACATCTGCATGTATTGCATGACATGGTGCAGGCAATACACTCACACATATACAATAAAAATAGTAAATAAAGTACTTTTTAAAAATCCACAGTAGAGACACGGTAGTTGGTACTAGGGGCTGAGGGCAAAGGTGACAGTTTGGTGTCAGCGTGGTTGTGGCAGTTTGAAAGCAGGAGTAAGCTCAGAAGACCCACCACGCCACAGGGTGACCACAGCTGTACTGAAATTGCTGAGTGTAAATTTCAGGCATTTCCTCATGACAAAGCAACAGCAAACAGTGGCAGATACAAAGCGATCTTCGCATGAACGGGGATGAACTGTTTCCAGGTGTAGAGCTGTCAGGGCGCGAGGTAACGTGGTCCAGTCAACATGTATTTCAGAACTTCCACTGTCCGCTCTCAGCACACAGAATTTCCACTTGTTGGTAAAGTAACTAAGTAAAGGGCCTGCGTGAACATCCTCCCAAACCACATTCTAGGCCAGCAAGGTATCTCAGGGAGCAGCGGCACCTGCCACATTGCCCGATTACCTGAGTTCAATCCCTGGGACCTACTCAGAGGAGGGAGAGACTCGATTCCCATGAGCTATACTCTGATCTCTACATGCAGGCAAGGGCACACAGACAGACAGATGGACGGACGGACAGACGGACGGACACACACACACACACACACACACAAATAAACAAATGTCGTGAAGTTAAAAAATATTCTACACAGGGGCTGGAGAGATGATAGCTCAGTGGTTAAGAGCACTGGCTGCTCTAGAAGAGGACTGAGGTTCAATTCCCAGCACCCACACAACAGCTAACAACAATCCATAACTCCAGTTCCAGGGGATCCAATGCCCTCGTCTGACCTCCACGAGCACTGCAGAACATGGGTATATTTACACACATGCAGGCAATACACTTGTACACGTAAAAATTTTTTTAAAAAATATATTCTACACAATATCATAAATTTTCAGTTTTAAACGATAATTTAATAAGTTGAAAATACTTCCTGAAAATATCCAGGGTCAATTAACATAAATCATCACAATTACTGAACGAACACGGTCCACATCCTCAGTGGCAGCTGTCTCCCACTCGCTGTCTGTGCGCGGTCCCCTCCCTGGGCGTCGCCTCCCCCAGCTTGGCCTTTTCACTCTGCATCTGACCCTCTCCTCCCTCCACACACTGGTGTCCAGCTCTCCATGACATCACCATGTGGGTGGAACACACTTCTCAGAACTGACACCCTCCCTTCACGCCAACCCTTCTAGGAAGCAGGAACCCATCCTTCTGGTGCTCAGGAAGCACCCCGACATGGCTGCTGCCCTTTTCTGACCTTAACTGTCAAATTCCATTAGAAATCCTATTATCCTGACTTTCCACCTGCATCAATCACCAGTCCCCACCTGACCTCCCTGGTTTATGCCACCATTACCGCCTCTAGGGGGACTGAGTAGCCCTTCCCTTGAGTGTACCTCCAGTCTCTGATGTCCCCTAAGACCCGTGCATTAAAGGCTTGGTCCCCAACTTGTGGTGCTACAGAGTGTGACAGACTGTGCAGGAGGAGGGGTCTAGTGGGCGGCTGTTAGGTCATTGCAGTTGCGCACCTGAACTGGATCTTGGGACCCTAACTAGCTCCCCTCTGTGTCTCCCTGGCCTCCAGACTGCCGTGAGGTAAACAGGCCTCCACCACGTGCCCCTCCATGATGCGCTGTGTCCCCACAGACCCACCATGAGGACCAAATGACCATAAAACTCCTGAAGTCATGAACCAAAAGAAATCTCTCCTCCATGTGAATCATTTGCCTCAGGCACTTGGTCAGTGATGGAAATCTCAACACACCTTTCTCTCCGGTCCCAGGACCTGTTCTAGCCAGTTCTCATCAGGGCAGTTGTGGGATCCTGTTAAATTGAAACTCTAGGGGCTGGAGAGATGGCTCAGTAATTAAAAGCACTGGCTGCTCTTACAGAGGACCGATGTCCGGTTAGCACCCACATGGTGGCTAACAACCATCTGTAACTCAAGTTTCAGGGGATCCGATGCCCTCTTCAGACCTCCAAGGGCATTGCATGACACAGGTGCCCTTACATATATGCAGGCATAGCACTCAAATACATAAAATAAAATTAAAAAAATAATAAATTGTTTTTCAAAAAGTGAAACTCCAGTCAAGGCTCTTCTCCCCTCAAAGGCTCTGGGGTCTGACCATGCCCTGTGGGTCAGGGTCTTACCTGGGCTCCCTCTGGTTCCCTCTGCTCTAATCACAGCCCCTTTCTGTGACACCACACTCTAGGCCAGCTTCTGCCTCTGAGCCACTCACTGTGCACACACTGTTCCCTGTCCCAGTCCTTGGGATACCTTCTTCCTACAGACACAGAGCCCACCTCCTCCACGCCTGGAGCATTCCAGGCATCACCCAGATGTGAGCTCCTCTCCTGCATCACCTGTCCACACACATCTCCATCTGACATGTCCTGATTCACTGCTCTTTTACTTCTGCCTTTGTCTTTGTGCCAGTGGCTCCTTGAATACAGAGCTTGGAGTGCTGAGTCCCGAGGCTTCCCTGGCGCCCATGAAAAGAGGCCCTGTTGGAGTTCAGATTATTCACTCGTGTGGTCCACACATAGTGGATGATGTCACTCAAGCACATCATCCTGAGGGCATCACACACACGTGCACAACCTAAGTGATGTGCAGCTGGAGGCTGAGGTGGTCAAGACAGGGACAGGCAGGAGAGGTCAGGGAAGGGTGTTCAGGAGTGGAAACTGCACAAGCAGAGTCTCAGGTACCGAGGAGGGATGTAATGCAGCTAATGGAGGACTCTGGGAGGAGAGTCCAGCAGGATGCAGACCATGCAAGGCCCCCAGTGTTTGCCCCTCTCCATCCATCTCTTCATCCATGGCAAGGGCACAGGACTGCTCAGACTGCGGAGGAAGTGGGTGATGATTGTTGGTGCTGGGGAAGACATGGGGACAGGAGGTCAGGGAGCATTCACTGATTAAGGAGACATGAGGAACAGGGATGACCAGGGTCAGGGTGCAGAAAGGGGTCAAGATGGGCTGTGGTGAGGATGGAGAGAGACCAGGGAGTGGTTCCTGGGGTAAAGGTGGAGAGAAGTCAGGGTGGAGACCCACACCTGCCTCTGGATAGAGAAGTGGCCACTGAGCCAGGAGCATCATGGGACCAGCAGGGATGCGGGCACAGGATGGGGGTGGGCAGCTCACCTGGCGCCATGCTGAGTCGTGTCATCCTGTGGCATTATGGGGAGGGGTCCAAAAGGAAGGGGGAGGGATGCAGGACCTCGGCTTCACTCACCTGAGAGACTAATCAGTGACAGGGTCTGCAAAGTCCCTGCGTGCTGCTGGCCTTCCTGTCGTTTTCCCGTGAGACCTCTCTCTGAGTGAAGAGACCTGGGGCTTCTCAGAGGGCAGTCTGCGGCAGCCACCACCCCCTGCACCCCGTGCTCTCAAAGGCTGGATAAGCGACTGAGGGAGAGAGATGCCCTGCCCCTAAGACCTCCTTGTTGAGACCAACTGCATCCCACAGGAGTGACAGCTGGGGACAGACAGTGCCTGAGTCCTGTTCTCACCACCTAAAGCCACCTGGTCCCTGCTACCCCAGACCCCTCCCTGTCCCCAGCACTGGGACTCTGGTGTTGAGCCCTCCCCACACCTGTTCCTGCCTCGTGGGCAGCACTCACCTGAGGATGATGAGGCAGAGCCCGAGAAGCAGAACCTTGACAGCCGCCTCCCCCACAGCCACCAGGACCACATCTGCCGTCCGCCCTAATGTCCCTGCAGAAACACAGAGGAGGCTGAAATCAGCTGATGAAACAGAGGCAGCAGGGATCAGGGCTGTGGCGCCAGTGCCCCATGACTCCCCGCCTCACCCCGTTCTGCTGATGCTGTTGTCTCTGGATTCTGGGCTGAGGAAGGAGGCATGGATGAGTTGTGACCTTGCTAAGTGGGTCTGTGGTGTCCTCTCTAGCACCTCCAGGGGCCTCACCTCTGAAGTGGGATTCCTCTCTAACTCTTACCTCACCAGAGGACCCCAGCTTTGTCTAGAAGCTGTGATGCAGTGCACCATTGACCTGTCCCCTCTCCTCTGCCCTAGACCTCTCAGTCCTGCAAAATCCATCTCTCCCAAGGCCCATGCTGCTCTTCACGCAGAGTCCCTACAGCAGATCTCAGAGCTAGACAGTGTAGGGCCGGGAAGCCTGAGCTCCAAGAGCATTGCACTAGGGACAGAAACAGAGCACATGGGTCAGCAGAGTCGGGTCTCGTCTTCCCATGGAGTGTGCCTGTGTGTCCTCTGACCTGTCACTCAGGGTCACTGTGGTCCTTTGTGCCAGCAAAAGGGGCTGGGAACGGGGGCAGGAAGCTGTTCGTCAGCTTTTGAGGCAAACCCAGAGAGCCCTCAGGGTCCTGCCTGGCCATGCCTCCCAGGATCTCAGCACCCTCATTGAGGGCTATGTCTCAGTGCCCGGGAGACCCGTCCATTCCCTGGCAGGCTCTCTGCCCAGCAGGGACCAGACGTCATTACCAACAGGAAAGGACGGGGTGGAAACATTTCTTCATTGGACAGATGTCAGGGTTAAGGGATGAGACGTAGGTGGTGGGAAGGAATGTCCCAAAGAGACATCTGTGGCCGCGTCAGTGTTCTGTGTGACACTTTGATGGTGGACCACATCACATGGCCATCAAACCACGGGACATACAACACAGGGATGAACCCCGACGTAGCCTGTGGAATCCAGGTGCCAGATGTATCTCTGAAGGTTCATCCTTTGTGACAGTGGACCATCTGGTGGGGGGGCTCACAGTGCCGAGGCTGTGCATGTGTGAGGGCAGCAGGGAGACCTGACTCTCAGGCGTCATTTGACCCTCACGTGCGTGCTGTGGCATGTGTACGTGTGCACGTGCATGTACGGATGTTCACACACATAAATGACATAAAGTAATGAAGTCATTTAAAATGTCCCAAGATACTCAGCGACTGGAGGGAAGACACAGCCACACAGATGGATGGGGAGGAAGCTGCTGATCCCTCATGAATGTCTCCACCAAGTGTCAGAGAACCTGGGAGGAGCCCCCATGGGATGCTCAGGATGAACCCTCCACATCTGAGTCTGAAAACCCAGGTCTGAGGGGAGCTGGCACGGACAAGACCCCAGCAACAGCTCCATGAGTGAGGTGCCCTGCTGGGTCAGGTCCTGGGAAACGCTGAGTGAGGGAGCTCTGCAGGAGATGGATGGGGTGGGGGGGCTCCCTCTTCACTTGGCGTGAGATGAGGCAAGGCAGCACTCTGACACTAGCCCAGCAATCAGACTCACAGAGGGACAGGTCCTGTGTCCTCCTGTGTCCCCTTCCCAGCCAGGTCACCAGCACTCAGCCGGGTCTCCAGCCCCACCTCCCTGTCCCCTTCACACCCTCAGGGACACAGTGTCCTGTCTGTACTCACAGGTGACATTGAGCTGGACTGCCATTTCCACAGTCACACCTGCTCCAGGAAAGGTCACCTGACAGGTGAGGTTGGTGCCATGGTCCTGGGGCCGCGCTGTGAGGGTCAGCACGGAGGAGAGTGTGGTCCTGGGGCCCAGGGAGGTGAGGGCAGCTGACATCCAGGAGAAGATGGGGGGTGTTCCCCGCTCACAGGCCCAGGGCACAGAGCAGATCAGGTTGATGGGATGTCCTGGCTCCAGGGTTGATGGGATGTCGATGTGGGGGGTGTGGGTGAGGGCTGGTGAGGAGAGGGGGCCATGTGGGATCAGGAGAGGGTGAAGTACAGCTGTGGGGAGAACCCAGCCTCGGGTCCAGCTCCTCACTTGAGCCTTGATGCTCCACCTCCCCCCACTCTCTTTAGGGTCCCATCCCAACACAGCCCTGTGGCATCCAGAACCTTCCGCTGTCTCTGGAACCCACGGCTTACCGGTCACCTGCACAGACACTGGCTTCCCATAGTAATTCCACTTTATGTCTCCCTTCTCCAATCGGAAGAAGTAGGAGCCATTGTCTCCTCTCTGTGCATCTCTGATGTCCAGGGAGCAGTTGTTGTTCTTCAAGTTCCCGAGAATGTGGAATCGGCCCTGGGTCTCCTTCTGCAGTGCTCGCTCTGGGTTGTTTGTGGCCACAGGAGAGTCACGGTTTGTTTTTGCCCTTGCATGGAACCAGTAGCCAAAGACAGAACTACTCCGGGAGGCCCAAGGTGACTTGACCAGTTTGCAGGCCACAAGGACACACAGCCCCTCCTGCACTGCCACAGACGCCTCCACTTCCAGCTTGTAGCTCCGATCATTATCTTGGCACCCTGTCCTTGGAACAGTCACGTGAACTCAACCTCTCATGATTGTTTAGGGATGCATCTAAATTTGCCTTCTCTTCCTTTCTATCTTTCACCTTAGACATTTGGATGAATTGAACAACATTACAGTTAACAAATAAGGATAAGCACCTAATTCATATTGCACACATAAAAGAGTTGAAAGACAGATAATAAGCAATATGCCTAGAATATCAAGAGCATATTGAAAAGTGCGTAAGACTTTATTTTGTAAAAAAAAAAAAAAAAAAAAAAAAAAAGCCCATGGCCAGTAGCAGCAGGGCAAAGAGAGTCCTGCCCCCTCTTCCACGTTTCCCTCCAACCCAGGGCTCCACCTGGACCAGGGTCACATCTAAGCTCTTCCCACCTTGGGGTGATGCTTGGTGCATCTAAACCTTGCCCTTACAGAAGTTACTCAAGTTCTTGACCACGGTCAAACATCTCCACCCCTGGGTTTTTTGGTTTTGTTTGGTTTTGGGTTTTTTTTTTAGGTCATTAATGATTTATTGATCAGGTCTTATAAAATGTGTTTAATTAGGGACTGGAGTGATGGCTCAATGGTTAAGAGCACTGGCTTAGTTAAGAGCACTCACAGAAGACCTGGGTTCAGTTCCCAGCACCCACAAGGTGGCCCACAGCCATCTGTAACTCCAGTTCCAACAACCTCCACTGGCCTCTGTGGGTTTGCACACATGTGGTACACTTCCATACATGCAGATGAAATACTCAAACACATAAAATAAAAACGATAAATGAATTTCTTAAAATGTGTTTAAGTAATGATAATTCAACAGCAAGTAAGAACTTAAAAACCAAATTTGTCATTCATGAAACGTGTTTGCCAGGCATGGTGGACAGGCCTTTAATTCCAACATTCTGAAGGATGCTCCCGTGTGCAGAACCTCAGCCGTACAGTCCTCTCTCGGGATGCCAGTACCAGGAGCTGGCACCTGCCCTAGAGACATAGCTGGTATATCTGCAAAGCATGAGTTTGGAATTCTTTCCCTTGCCTCTGAAACACTGATTCTTCACATGTCAAACACAGCTCTTGAATGGACCATGCGGCATCCTCGTGAGATGCTGGGGTGTGAGGACAGCTTGATGTCTGCGTCCTCACCATGCACGTGAGCGGTTCCTGTCTCAAATCTGCATCTCCCACTTGGAAGTGCCTCTGTGGGCATCGTACCATCAGACAGCACGAGTGGATTGTACAGGAAGAAGGAAACGTTTGGCCCAGCCCACATGGTTTTCCACATCATCATAGCACTTGATGTTACTGTGATTTTAAAACTCCGCTTTTTACATTTTAGCCATTCTAATTGGTATGTGCTGGTGTCTCATTCTGGCTTTAACCTGTGATTTCACAACAGACCATGTCGCGGGACCTGTTTTCATATATGCAATCACTGCTCATGCTTTCCTTCTCTGTGGAAATTGGGAGTTACTATTTGGATGCATTTGGGGGTGCTCTTATGAAAATGGTCATAAAACCCACAATTTTAATCACTGTGATTTTGCTGGACAGCTTCAGTTGTCAACTTGACCCACCAGGGACGAGGAAATCCCAACTGAGGTATTTCTTTCATTGCATTGGTCTGTGGCCATGTTTATGAGGAATTTTCTTTTTTAGGAAATATTTATCCATTTGTGTGTGAGTATGTGTCTGCATTTATATAAGTTCCCTATGTGCACACCTGGTGTCCACAGAGGTGAGAAGAGGGTGGAGCTGGAGTTACAGGTGTTTGTTCACTGCCATGTGGGTGGCTGGGGACCAAACCTTGATCTTCTGCAAAACCAGCCAGTGCTCTTAATCACGGAGCCATCTCTCCAGTCCTACAAGGCATTTTCTTAACTGCTAATTGAGTGGGAGGCGCCGGCCCACAGTGGGTGGTGCCACTCCTGGGCAGGTGGTCCTAAGAAGGCAGACTGAGCACAGGCCAGTGGAGCAAGCTAGTGAGCAGAGTTCCTCCATGGTCTCTGCTTCAGCTCCTGACTCCAGGCTCCTGCTATGAATTCCTGCCTTAATAATGGGCTGTGAGTTGTAAGCCATAAACCCTTTCCTCCCCAAGTTGGTTTTGGTCAGTGTTTTATCACAGCAACAGAAAGTCACTAGGATAATGATGGACAGATGAGCAGCATTAAGGGCACCCCTCTGTCGAGCCACCAGCGGCATTAAGGGCACCCCTCTGTCGACCCACCAGCGACATTAAGGACACTCCTCTGTTGAGCCACCAGCAGCATTAAGGGCACCCCTGTCAAGCCACCATGGCCACCATCCGCCTGTAGAACATCTTCCGTCTCCCCACAATAGAGCTCTGTGCCCATTAAAAGACTTCTTCCTGCCTTCCCTTAGTCTACGACTCTGCCTGTCACAGATCCCTCGTGTGAGTGGAATCACACAGTACGTGTCCTTTTGTGACATCTTTCTCTCACTCAGCACGGTGTACTCCAGGTTCATCCATGCTCTGGCGTGTTTCTGTGTATGGACCGGAGCAGCATCTGTGATGGACACTCTGTCTGCTTCTCCCCTTCGCTGTTATAAATACTGCTGATGTGACCACGGAGGCAGAAAAGTTGGCTCAGTCCCTGATCCCGGCTCTTCAGGGCATCTGCTGAGAGCTGAAGAGTAGATCATGTGCTCGTTCTAGTTCTTAACTTCTGAGGAACCACAGTAGATTCCTGTCCAGCCGCATCCTCCCACCTTCTCAGAAGCAGTGTGCAAGAGTTCCCGTTCCGCTGCTGTGGCCAACGGCTGCCCTTTCCTACTTCTTCAGTAACTGCTGTAGCTGTGGAAGCCGGCCTCTCACGGTGCTGTACTGCATGTGGTAAGCGTGCACAACACGACGTTGGCCTATCTTGGCTCTCATGATCAGTGCTGAGAATTTCTTCCTGTCCTTATTGGTCATTTGTGTAAGTTCTTGAAAATGGCTACCCGAGTCATTTTCCCACAGTCACAGGCAGTTTTTTTCTTTTCTCATTATTTCACACACGCTTTTCCTCAGCATTAAGTGAGTTGACACTTACCCAGTTAACTGTTTGCTTCACGGTTCTGATTTTCCAGGTAGGGAGTCTAAATGTTAATGTTCATCCTCTCTTAGCTTGCTGAGTTCAAAGTGTGGGAAATCATCTCACAAAACTGAACAGTGTGGGGACCCGACTCCATTATATGCTAACTGGGATTGCAGAGTTGCTGAATCTTAGTTTCCATATTAACGTAATGAAGTAAAAGTAGAAGTTGAGATTCTGATTATTAAAAACCATATTTAGGGATTAGAGAGCTGGCCCAGCAGTTAAGAGAACTGGGGGCTCTTGCAGGTGATCAAGGTTCGGTTTCCAGCACCCGCATGGCAGATAACAACCGTCTGTAACTCCAGTTTCAGAGGAACCAACGCCCTCTTCTGACCTCTGTGGGCACTGCACACCATGGGTGCACTTACATACATATAGGCAATATACTCATACACATAAAATAAAAAATAATAAAAATATTTTTAAAAGCCATATTTAATTATTAACCATGCATACCATTACTTTTTTACATGCATTTTAATCCCACTTTGAATATCATTAATATATTTATGCTTGTTTCCTAAGACCTTTAATGATCAGTCTTTACTGATTTTAGCTTATTAGATACCACAAATAATAAACCCACTGCTGTTATTGTCCTATGTGGACATGTTGACATACTGCCTTCTAAGTGTGGAAGTTTGCAACTATAGATCTGTGCTGCTGTCAGCCTTGGTCAGAAAAGCTTCTTTTTGAAGTGGGTCCTGGTTCTTGCAGAGACTCACAGCTGGTCAAAGTGTTGAGAATCAGTGGCTGTGGTGTGCTCAGCCCTAAATGGAATGTCTATATCATCCTCTGAAGGCTCACAAACACCACAGAAGAGGAGACACAAAGGACATAGGAGCGGGAGGGTGGGGAGGGGTGTGGTGAAGGGCTGTCTCCTGGACATGGCGTGACTGTTGCACTCATGAACTCACAGAACACATGAACTGCATGAGACAGATCCTGTTGACATTCCATTATAGGTGGGGAAGTGCTCATGAGGTCCAGCCCTGGCTGAGGTGGTGGCTGCCGGGGGAGGTGGAGTCAGTAAAAAATAAAATTAATAAAAATTTTAAAAAGATAAATAAGATTGTTGGTACAGGCCTGTGAGCTCAGCTACCCAGTTGACAGAGGCAGGAAGACCACACATTCAAGGCCAGTCTGGGCTCTGAAGGAACTTTAAAGTCTACCTGGCCCACACAAAAGGCCCTTTCTCAAAATTAAAGTTACAGAGGGTTGGGACGTATGGTTTAGTAGAGTGCTTACCTAGAGTGTTTGAAGCCTTGCATTCAAATCCTAGTCCTGGGAGCTGGAGAAATGGCTTAGTGGTTTTGAGCACTTGCTGCTCTTTCAGAGGGCAGCTCACAACAACCTGTAACTCACGTTCCAGGAGATCGAATGCCTTCTTCTGGCCAATGGGCATAGGTGCACATATCTATATACAGCAGCACACACATAAATAAAAACCCAGGGACCATTGTGGAAGAGGGGGTGGAAAGGCTGTAAGAACCAGGGTCGGTACATGAACCTAAGGCAACAAAGTTTTCCAGACCTCTGGGAAACTGCTCGTATGAACCTACAGCAATGGTGTCAGCATGCCCAAGACCCATGCAGAATCAATCAGACAAAACCCAGCATAGAACTAGGGAAATGGGCAGCAGGCCCCAACTACAGCCAAGGACCTACTGCTAACTGATCACTGCAGGGTGAGGAAATGTAGATCTTCTCCAGTGGATGAACTTGCACCACGGGACATCTTGAGTTGATAGGCCTTAGCATATATGACAGCATGCATGAAATCTGGTCGGGGGAGGGAGGGGTGCGGATGGGGGAGGAAGTCTGAATATGAATAAGGTGTATTGTATGAAATGCACAAAAATTCAATAAAAATGTACATTAAAAATAAAATAATAAAATCTTTTAAAGAAACAAGTATAAGTCCTAATTAATGCGCGCGCGTGCGCACACACACACACACACACACACACACACACACACTCACAACCACTGTGAGTTCATATGTACAACTTCCCTGTTTTGTCTGGAAACATGGACTTCTGTGGTCATCCACCACCTCTGGAGGAAAAAAAGGCAAGAAATCTTGCCATTTGAAACAATACAGATGAATCTGAGGGACAGTTAGATAAGTCGGGCATAGAGACACGAGGTCCACATTTTATGACATTTTATTTGCAATCTGAAAAATTCAAACATCTTTGAACAACAGTGACCATGTGGTGGCTGGTCCTGGGGCTGAGGGAAGAGTGACATTCAGGGAAACTGCAAATGACAGGTTCGGAGCAGGAGCAACATCTGGAGACGTGCCAAACCTCGGGGTGGTCACAGTTTCACTGTGCATTTCAAAACTGCTTATTGTGACAATGTGCACGGGACCTGCGTAAGCTCAAGCGAGACAAACGCCCAGCATGGAGGGGGAGGTGGGCACGCTGTTTCACCCCTAATGGAGGTGCAGCTGCTGGGAGAGGACTGACGTTTTCTTTAAGGGTGGAGCCACTGGTAGATTGACTACGCTCCAGGGGATGGCCACACTCCCAAGTGTAAGGACAGCATCAGTTGAACTCAATGGGCTGGGGTTTTTTGGTTTTTGTTCTTTGTTTTTGAGGCAGGGTCTCCCTGTAGCCCCAGCTGTCCTGGAACTCACTATGTAGACCAGGCTGGCCTTGAACTCACAGAGATCCGCCTACCTCTGCCTCCCAACTAAATACATTTTTTATTTGTCAATCAAGTAACAAAGCTGATACTAAAGGGAAGATGTGACTATCCACAAAATTCACATTCTACACCATGTCATTAATTTTTTATAAATTCTTTTAAAAAATATGTTTTATTATTTTTAATGTATATGAGTGTATTGCCTGCATGTGTGTAAGTGCACCCATGTCACGCAAAGCTGGTGGAGGTCAAAGAGGGAGTTAGATCTCCTGGAACCGGAGTTATGGATGGTTATTAGTCACCATGTGAGTGCTGGGAATCGAACCCAGGTCCTCTGCAAGAGCAGCCAGTGCTTTTAACCACTGAGTTGTCATCTCTTCAGCTCCAAATCATTAATTTTTAAATTGTATCCCATTGAGCTGAAAGACAATCCATATTAATTATCACAATTATTAAACAGGGGACCATCTTCTATCTCTTAAACATCACCCCTGACACCTATAGATATAGACTATTCTAGCAGTACCCAGCTCCTCTCCTGAGTCATCTGTTTGTACACACATCTTCATCGAACATGCCCTAATTCATTACTTATTTTTTTATTCCTGTCTAATGTCTACATCAGTGGCTCCTTGAATACACAGACTGGAGTGCTGAGTCCTGAGGCATCCCTGGTACCCACAAAAATGGGTCCTGTAGGAGATCAGTACTAGTCACCAATGTGGTCCACATATAGTGGATGATGTCACTCCTGCACAGAGTCCTGGGTACATCACACACACGTGCCCACCCTGAGCGGCATGCAGTTGGAGGCTGAGGTGCTTGGTTCAAAGACAGGCAGAGGAGGTCAGGGAATGGTGTTCATATGCAGTACAAGTTCAGGAGGCTGGAGGAGAGTGTGTGAGAGGGTCATGAAGCAGGGAGAGAAAGCTCTGGGGGGTCCAGCAGGATGCAGACCACAGGAGACCCTCAGGGAGGGCCGACTCTGCTTTATAAATTGATAAATTTATTTAAAAAATTAATGATTTGGTCCCATGTGCTCACTGCCCCTGTCCCTGACTTTAGTGTAATGCCCTTGGGGCCCAGGCATCACAGCCCTGCACTGCCTAGCCCTGAGATATGCTGTGAGGACGCTGGGAAGTGCAGGGTGTGGCTTGTGCCTGACACCATGGATGGCGACAGCACAGGGCTGTTCAGACAGTGGAGGAAGTGGGTGACAATTGTGTCTGGAAGTTCATTCTGGAGGATGGTGCTGGAGAGACATGGGGGCAGGAGGTGAGGGTGACTCAGTGACCAGGGAGGGATGAGGACAAAGGACAACCAGGGTCATGATGGAGAAAGGGATCAGCATATGGTGAGGATGGAGAGAGACCAGGGAGTGGTTCCTGGGGTAAAGGTGGAGAGAAGTCAGGGTGGAGACCCACACCTGCCTCTGGATAGAGAAGTGGCCACTGAGCCAGGAGCATCATGGGACCAGCAGGGATGCGGGCACAGGATGGGGGTGGGCAGCTCACCTGGCGCCATGCTGAGTCGTGTCATCCTGTGGCATTATGGGGAGGGGTCCAAAAGGAAGGGGGAGGGATGCAGGACCTCGGCTTCACTCACCTGAGAGACTAATCAGTGACAGGGTCTGCAAAGTCCCTGCGTGCTGCTGGCCTTCCTGTCGTTTTCCCGTGAGACCTCTCTCTGAGTGAAGAGACCTGGGGCTTCTCAGAGGGCAGTCTGCGGCAGCCACCACCCCCTGCACCCCGTGCTCTCAAAGGCTGGATGAGCGACTGAGGGAGAGAGATACCCTGCCCCTAAGACCTCCTTGTTGAGACCAACTGCATCCCACAGGAGTGACAGGTGGGGACAGACAGCGCCTGAGTCCTGTTCTTACCACCTAAAGCCCCTCCCTGTCCCCAGCACTGGGACTCTGGTGTTGAGCCCTCCCCACACCTGTTCCTGCCTCGTGGGCAGCACTCAGCTGAGGATGATGAGGCAGAGCCCGAGAAGCAGAACCTTGACAGCCGCCTCCCCAATAGCCACCAGGACCACATCTGCCATCTGCCCTTTCCCTGCAGAAATGCGGACGAGGCTGGAATCAGCTGCTACCCACACCCTGAGTCCTTTCTCAATACAAATGGTCCTCTAAGGCTTCCCCCATCTGTGGATTTAAGACCACATCAGCCTGCACACACCCCACTCCACACCCTGAGTGCCCAGCAGAAGGAGGGTGCACTCATCCTCAAGCACCTCAGCCCTACAGTTGGTATGAGGCCAGGCAGGGCCCACCTCCTTCCCCTGCTGCTCAGAAACCTGGAGCCCCAGACCCTTCCGACGTGGAAGGTCTCATAAGCAGCCACTTGACACTCACCCTGCAAAGTCAGGTTCAGGGACGTGTGCTGGGATCCTAGAACATTCTGTGCGTGGCAGGTGAATTCTCCTTCATCAGTCAGATGCACTTGAGGCAGGTCCAGGACCCCAGGGTTTGAAGGCCATGTGGGGCTCAGAGTGAGGCTCCTAGGGGCCCAGCTCAGCCTGGCAGGAGGGATGCTGTCAACAGCACAGGCCAGACACAGGGACTCTCCTTCCAAGACAGTCAGCACTGAGTCATTTTTCAGGGCTGTGGGTGCTACAGAGGAAGAGACACAAGGTCATGGTGCTGGCGGGAGGAGGATGATCACAGGACAGAAGAGTGGATGGGTAAAGTGCGGCACACAGACTAGACTGGGAGGCACAGAGGCTTGGTGGATGGTCCCAGAGATGGAGTGAGCTCAAATTTATGTCCTGGCAGCAGCCCCGTCCTCTGTCCAGGGAGAGGTGGATCCATCTCTATCCTGATGCTCTTTCCAACTGGACTCAGGCCCCAGGACCAAGAGAGTACTTTGGTCTTCACATGATTCCCACACAGTTGTCAGTGAGCCCTAGCTTCCATGAGGCTCTCCACAAAATTAGAGGGAACACTGAGTCACTTCCTTTGCTCTAGAGCAGTTTATCCCATCAACACACACACACACACACACACACACACACACACACACACACACACACACACACCAGCTATAATATTATCCACTGTAAATTTCCACTGGCATCATGAAATCAGTTCCACGGCTGCCCATTGAGGCAGGATACACACAAACTGGAGTTCATGGTCTTCAGTCACAGAGAACAGGGACGGTCTGTGCCATTAGCGTCCAATGCCATCGCTGACCCTCAGGTGGACAAACCCAGGCTCATCCCAGTCTGCATGGACACAGGTCACACCTGGGGAGGGGACCGAGCTGCTAGTGACAGACCGCTGTGTGTTCTGGATGTTTGCACCTGTGGCTGTGTCTCCTGCACAAGCCCTCAGATCAGAACTCAGGGGGAGAAGAGCTGAGGCTGGAGGCTGGTCCACAAGTGGATGTGAAGGGCCTGGAATATCTGTTCTGCTGTGTTCGTGGTGCCCTGTCCCTGTTGTGGCCAAGGGGCATGTGCAACTGTCCCAGGGAGTGAAGGGTACTTGAGGAAGGATGCTCAAGTAGCCAATGGGGATTTGATGGGGAGGGGTCACTGCCTCCCCGTGTCCAGGATGAGTCTAGTGTGGGGAGAGACAGATTCTGTCCTTTGCTGAGCAGACCCTGCAACCTCCACCCAGAATGGCTCCCCTTATCTGAACCAGCTCCTTGGTAGACAGTCACAATCAGATTCTTTGGAACATCTGAGAGAGGATGACACAGAGGACCCATCAGTGGAAAGCCTGGGTGGACATCTACCTTCTGTCCCCAGGAGCTGCCCAGGTGGGGATGGCGGGCTTCCTCTGGTTCCATCTGGTCCTGACCTGCCCCCAATCGTTATTCAGTGATTCATGTCCTGACCTTGACCCCTTCCTCCCTTTCTTAAGGACCTCTCTCCATCAGAGTCACAATATCCCAGCCCAGCCTCACATGACACATTGAGATGGACGGTCCTTTCTGTGCTCACATCAGCCCCAGGCAGGGTCACCTGACAAGTCAGGTTGGTGCCATGGTCCTGGGGCTGCAGGATGAGGGTCAGCATGGAAGAAGAGTCAATGGTCTTGGGGGTCAAGGGTAACACAGAGGTCCCGTCCAGGAGAAGGTGGGGGGTGTCCCCCTTGCACAGGCCCAGCGTGCAGAACAGGTCAGGTTGCTGGGAAGGCCAGCTTTCAGGGTCTCCAGCATGAAGATGTGGAGGGGTGTTGGTGAGGGCTGGTGAGAAGGGAACACACAGGATCAGGAGGGTGAGGTGCGACTGTGGGGGAATCCCAGGCTCTGATCCAGCTCCTCCCTTGTGTCCTGAAGCTCCAGCCCCAGCTGCTCCAAGGATGGGTCCCATCCCAGCCCCTCCCTGTGTCACTCATGACCTCCCCCTGTGGCCACTCTGCAGCCAATGACTTACCCTCCACAAGCACAGTCAGCTTGTTCCCAATATAACTATACTTTGTCTGTCCTCTCTCCAGTCGAAATAAGTACAATCCTGCGCCGTCTTCCTGACACCTCTGATGTCCAGGGAGCAGTTGTTCTTCTTCGGGTCCCTGAGCAGGAGGAATCGGCCCTGGGTCTCCCCCTGTACTGGTTTCTGTGGGTTGTTTGTGACCACTGGACGGTCTCGGTCTGTTCTGGCCCCTTCCCGGAACCAATATCCATGAATGGGGTCTGAGCCAGTCCAGTGCTCCTTGGGGTAGGAGAACTCACAGGGCACAAGGACACACAGGCCCTCCTGCACAGTCACCTCCCTTGTCACCTCTAGGCTGAAACCCTCCAGGGTGTCCTTCCCACCCTCTGTCCCCTTCATCCCCAGAGCAGCAGCGACAACAGCAGCATGTCTGGCTGCAGCTGCAGGGCCACCAGGGGACGTCTGTGGCTCTGGGCTCTTCTCTGAGGAACTAAGAGATGCAGGACCTGGAGGAGCCCACAGGAAGCAGGGCGAGGGTAGGGCAGTGGCCGCCCCAGGGGAGGAGCTTCCCACCCAGGCCCTGTCCAGGCTGTCAGCCCTCGAAGACCAGCGGCCTCCTACCCAGGTCCATTTCTGGGAACCCTGAAGCCCTCAGGGAACCTCTCCCAAATGCCCGCAGGAAGGGCCCCTCTCCCTCCCTCCCCGGCACAATCCTTCCCCTTAGGTGGCATCTTGGCAGTGACGATGGGGTCCCTCTGACCACACTCCAGAGCTGCTTGGGACTGCGGACGTGGTGGGGGGTGGAGAGCACTGCGAGCCTCCATTGAGGAAGCTGGGGCTGTCTATAGACAGAACTGCGGAGAACACAGGGCAGGAGAAGCTGCAGGATGCACAGGCTGGAAACGGCCCCCACAGCAGCTAACCGAGGATGCTGCGAACCAAGTCCTGCTACTTTGGGGGGAAATACTTTCCAGCGGTGTAGGTGGTGGCTGTGGAGGAAGGAATGGGCATCCTGAGACACATGGGTCAGCAGCCTGTGGGTCTGAGGGTCTCTACTTGCTTTTAGTGCTGCTCAGGATTTTGTAGACTGAATCTGGATGTCTGAAATCTGTCACCGAGATTTTATCTACAATTGTTATACATTCATAGATCAATTTGTGGATAATTTGGTCCCTTGATTATATTGTTTTCCAATCCGTGAACATGGTATGTGCATCAATAGCAGAGAATAAAATGGATATTAATTTCCTTAAATTTCATCTACCCGTGGATGCTGGAAGAGGGCGTCATATCCTTCAGATATGGAGTTAAAAGCTGTGACAGGTTGCCAAATATGACTGCTAAGAACCAAACTCAGGTCCTCTGGAAGTGCAGCAAACACTGTGACCTGCTAAGCCATCCCTCAAGCCCCAACACTGTGATGTTTGAATGTGGTAGTCATCCAAGGCCAGAGCAGGTAGAATAGGATGGGTCTGAGGAAAGCTCCCAGCTTAAGAGCATGGACGTGAGTCTGGTACCCAGTCCTCACATCAGGTAGCTCACACCTACCTGTAACTCCAGCTCCGGGAGATCCAACTCCTTCTTCTTCTGGCCTCCTTGGGCACTTATACTTACCTGCATATGCTGAGAGAGAGAGAGAGAGAGAGAGAGAGAGAGAGAGAGAGAGGCATAATTTGAAAATAAATGTTAATTTTTTTAAAGAAAGAAAAGAGTGTGGTTTTCCATTATGATTAGTAGATTGTCAATAAGTGTTTGAAAACAGGGCAGACATTTCCATATTTATACATCAAAAAGACGTTCTTTTAAATAGAAACCGAGTTGAGGTTAGCTGGAAGGTTGATGACGGAAAGACGCTCATTGCAGAAGCACTGCAGATGGCAAAGGCGTTTGGGAGAACAGTTACAGTATCACCAATCTCTCCTCAGCATCTATGACTGCCAAACTGTACAGTGAAACCTACAGGGGCCTTGAAGAAGGGTTCATCAAGCACCTGAATGCAATGATCAGTTTCATCATCACAGTAGACATGACAGGGTGTAACAGTATATTCACATTTACAGTCTGATTAGGTCTCTGGAGCCTAGTTGTCCAACGGAAATATAATGTGAGTGACCGGCAGGCTTACCCACACGTGGCATCAAATTTATATCAGTTATATCAGAAGAAACGAATAAATTCAGTTTAGTGGTATGTTTTATTTTCCCCCGCATATCCAAATTATTATTTCAAGATCTGACTAATGTCTTTAAAAAGCATCCTGCGTTATTTGGCATTCACTTTTCACGCTGAGCTTTCAGAAACCAGTGTATGTCTTAGACTGTGTATGTTCAGCACATCGTAACATGAAGAGGTCATATTTCCAAGGCTCAGTGGCTACCTGACTGGAGAACACGTGCTTAGATTTAAATATCACTTCATCCGAAGTGCAAGGATGGAGGCCTGTGTTAAATGACATGAGGAAGCACCTGAGTCAAATATAGAATCTAAAAAGCACAATCATGTAAAAAGCAATGTGGGTTCAAATGTTGATAAGAGTGCTTGTCAACATGCATGAAGCCCTGGGCTCAATACTCAGCACCACATAAACTAGGTATAGTGGTACACATCTGTCATCCCACCACTTGGGAGGTGGAGGCAGGAGGATCTGAACACGTGTGTACTTACAAGCCTGTGACTCAACAATTAATCAATGCAATTAAAAAAGCAATCTCATCAAGAAATGAACAGCATGAAATCAAGTAAGGAGGAAAGGTATTTGCAGATTAGAAGAGGCTAAAGATGCATATCGGTTAAGCAGAATTTGTAGGCATTGATTGTATCTAGATGTGATAAATCTAGTTTGGGTAGAATATTAACAAGTCATTGCTATGTTTAGGTGTATGAACTGTGCTTTTTAAATTTATTCATTTATTTGTCTTTTCTGAGACAGGGTCTTCCTGTAGCCCCAGCTGTCCTGGAACTCACTGTGTAGAACAGGCTGGCCTTGAACTCACAGAGATCCACCTGTCTCTGCCTCCCAAGTGAGTGCTGGGATTAAAGGTATGCATCACCATGCCCAGCTATGAACTGTATTTATGACTATGTTAAAAAGCTTTCATCTCTCAGAGGTACACAGTAAAGCATTTATGGATAAAAGAATAGTTAGGATGTTCCTATAAATAACCTAGCAACGGGCTAAAGAGGGTGGGACTTATCCAGATAATTCTTCAAAGTGCATCATTCCATCATTAAAAAATGGTTTATACCAGAAAACCATAATAATTCAAATTCAAAACCCACCACACTCCATAAATCTCATCAGAAATCTGCGTACACCATATGCATAATGAACATGTGCCTTTTTCTTTCCGAGAATGGATTTTTTAAAAAGAATTACTAATAAATTGTCCTAGAGAATCTTGTATAATGCTTACATCATAGGTATTTTGGCAGATGAAACAGTACCAAGCTTCCTACTAAATGTTTCTTTGTTTTATTTTTTTTAGCGGTTTAGAAACAGACTCCTTTGCCCTCCCTTCCTCTTCCCTCAATCTCTCTCTCTCTCTCTCCCCCTGCCCCTCAATTTTGTGACCTCTTCTTTATTGGTACATATATACATATATGTTAGTGTTGCTCCTGTGAACGTGTGTTTAGGGCTGACCACTTGGGATTGAATAACCTATCAGGGATCTCCCACATGAAGGTGTGTTATTGTTATTAACAAATTCATGAGTAATTTGACTCTAGGTTGTAAGGTCTAATGTTGAAAGAAGGTTCCTTTTAGATTCCAGTTTCATTTCCCATTTCCCAAGAGCCCCACTAGGTTTTGAAATTTTAGTAATTTAAAGGGGGTGGAGGTGGGGTGGAGAATTTAATTCAGTGTGAAAGCACAGAGAAAAGTGGTTTTTCAGGTTTTCAGATTTCTCTTAGAGTCCTGCGAACACTGGACAGCTGCAAGTCTTTGTGCATGACTTCGGCAACTGGATGTTCTTTGATGGTTTCCTCCAACGTTATGATCCTATAGGCGCTGCCATGACGACCTTTCAGAAAGAACAGGAACTACATAAGGCGCCATGATAACTGTGGGCCGCAGTGGGCATGCTGTACATTCCATTGCCTTGGAAATACGTACTAAGAGTAATCTAAGGGAAACCGGAAGTGGCACTGGGTGGCCCTGGTCTCTTAGATCGTCATGTGATGCTGCGTTGCCATTGGTGACAGGACGCGGAGGGAGTCTGAGCATTAGTGAGCTGAAGTCCATGCGAGCCCCAGGTTCATGCAATTAGCTGTGAGCTCCAGTCCTCAGACCCGGGGAGGCGCCTTCCAGCCTGTGGCAGGGACCAGAGCTTCTGGGGCTTCCGGAAGCATTTCTCAACTTCATCGTCCAATGTTTCTAAGAATTATTCTTTCAAAAAGAAACTCTTTTTTTTTTTGTCTTCCTGAGACACGGTCTCCCTGTAGCCCCAGCTGTCCTGAAACTCACTACGTAGACCAGGCTGGCCTCGAACTCACAAAGATTCGCCTGCCTCTGCCTCCCAAGTGCTGTGATTAAAGGCATGTGCCACCACACCAGGCCTCAAAAAGAAACTTTAAAAGCTTTGATACCAATATCCCTCTCGGTGGCATGTTTTGATTCATAGATATTTGAGATATATTAAAATGTGATTTTTTTTTTCTTAAATGGATAATGTGTGATTTCAAAAATGAAAATGAAACAACGTGGGCTGGAGAGATGGCTCAGTGGTTAAGAGAACTGGCTCTAAACTAGTTCGGTTCCCAGCTCCCACATGGCAGCTAATAACCTTCCGAAACTCCAGTTCCAGGGGATATGATGCTGCCCTATTCTGACCTCCATGGGCATTGCACCACATGAGTGCATTACTACACATACAGGCAATACACTCACACAAAATAAAAATGAAACAAGGCGGGCAGGAGAGATGGCTCAGCAGTTAAGAACGCTGGTTGTTCTTGCAGAAGACCCGGGTTCGAATCCCAGCACCCACATGGCAGCTAACAACTGTCTGTAACTCCAGTCCCAGGGGATCCAACAGCCTCTTTTGACCTCCGAGGGCATTGCACAACATGGGTGCAATACACACATACACATAAAATAAAAATAAATAAAAATTTTAAAAAATGAAACAAGGCATAAGTTTTTAATTGTTATTTATTTATTTATTTATTATGTTTTAAGTGTGTGAGTGTTTTGCTTGCATGTATGTAAGTGCACCCATGCATGCACACAACACACAGAGGCCAGAAGAGGGTTTCAGATCCTCTGGAACTGGAGTCATGGATGTTTGTTGGTTGCCTAGTGGGTGGTAGGAACTGACCCTAGTGCTCTTAAGCACTGAGTCATTGCTCCAGCCCCAAGCAAGTTTTATTTTGCATAGACTATTCTGTCTGATGTTCCTCTTGGTCTGATCTCCTCAAAATGTTACCCCTATCGTCACTCCCTCCCCAAGTCAACCAGTTCCCTCTGAAGGT